TTAGAAAAAGAAATTGAATGAGCTATCAGTGACCTCCCTCAGAAAAAATCTCCAGGGCCAAATGGATTTACAAATATATTCTACCAAGCATTTAAAGAACAATTAATTCCAGTACTATATAAACTATTTGGGAAAATAGGCAAAGAAGGAGTCCTACCAAATTCCTTTTATGAATAAATATGGTGCTGATACCTAAACCAGGAAGAGCCAAAATAGAGAAAGAAAATTATAGGCCAATTTCCCTAATGGCTATTGATGCCAAAATTTTAAATAAAATATTAGCAAAGAGATTATAGCAATTTATCATCAGGAGAATTCTCTGTGACCAGATGGGATTTATACCAGGAATGCAGGACTGGTTTAATATTAGAAAAACTATTAACATAATTGACCATATCAATAGCAAAAGTAACAGAAATTTATATGATTACCTCAATAGATGCAGAAAAAACTTTTGACAAAATACAGCAGCCTTTCCTCTTAAAAACACTAGAGAGCATAGCAATAAATGGAGCTTTTCCTAAAATGATAAGTAGTATCTATCTAAAACCATCACTCTTTGCCAATGATATGATGGTATATTTATGGAATCAAGTAAAAAAATCTTTGTGAAATTATTAATAACTTTAGCAAAGCTGCAGGATATAAAATAAACCTACATAAATCATCAGCATTTCTATATATTACCAACAAAGTTCAGCAGCAAAAGATAGAGAAATTCCATTTAAAATAACTGTAGACAACACAAAATATTTGGGAGTCCACTTGCTAATACAAACCCAGGAACTATATGAACACAATTACAAAACACTTTTCACACAAATAAAGTCAGATCTAAATAATTGGGAAAATATCAATTACTCATGGGTAAGCCAAGCTATCAAAATAAAAATGGTGTTTCTACCTAAATAATTTACTTATTCAATGCCATACCAATCAAACTATCAAAAAATATTTTATAGAGCTAGAAAAAATTATAACAAAATTCATCTGGAAAAACCAAAGGTCAAGAATATCAAGGGAATTAATGAAAAAAATACAAAGGAAGGTGGCCTAGCCGTACCAGATTAGGAATAAATTAAGTACACAAGACACAGTAGTAAATGACTATAGTAATCTACTGTTTGATAAACCCAAAGACTCTAGTGTCTAAACCCAAAGACTCTAGTGTCTAAGATAAGAACTCACTATTTGACAAAAACTGCTGGAAAAACTGGAAAATAGAATGGCAGAAACTAGGCATAGATGAACATCTCACACTGTCTGCTAAGATGAGATCAAAATGGATACATGATTTAGACATAAAGGGTGATACCGTAAGCACATTTGGAGAACAAGGAATAGTTTACCTGTTAGATCTATGGAGAAGGGGAGAACTTCTGGCCAAATAAGAGATAGAGAACATTATGAAATACAAAATGGATAATTTTGATTACATTAAATTAAAAAGGTTTTGCACAAACAAACCAAACACAACCAAGATTAGAAGAAAAGCAGAAAGAAGGGAAGCAATTTTTACAGCCAGAGTCTCTGACAAAGGCCTCATTTCTAAAATATATAGAGAACTAAGTCAGATTTATAAGAATACAAGTCATTCCCCAATTGATAAATGGTCAAAGGATATGAATAGGCAGTTTTCAGATGAAGAAATCAAAACTAACTAAAAGCAAACTGTAGTCATATGAAAAAATACTCTAAATCACTATTGATTAGAGAAATGCAAATTAAAATAACTGAGGTACCACCTCACACCTATCAGATTGGCTGATATGACAGGAAAGAAAAATTTAAATGTTGGAGAAGATGTGGGAAAATTGGGACACTAATGCATTGTCAATGGAGTTGTGAACTGATCTAGTTATTCTGGAGAGCAATTTGGAACTATGTCCAGAGGGCAGTCAAACTGTGCAGACCCTTTGATTGAATACTACTGCTAGGTCTGTATACCAAAGTGATTAAAAAAGGGAAAAGGACCTCCATGTACAAAAATATTTATAGCAGCTCCTTTATGCTAGCATAGAATTGAAAATTGAGGGATTGTCCATCAGTTGGGTAATGGCTGAACAAGTTGTATATGAATGTAATGGAATACTATTGTGCTAAATGATCAACAGTGGATTTCAGAAAAACCTGGAAAGACGTACATGAACTGATGCTGAGTGAAGTGAACAGAACCAGGAAAACATTGTATATAATAACTGTAACACTGTATGATGATCAACTATGATTGACTTCTCAGCAATGCAGTAATCCAAGACAGTTCCAAAAGATTAATGAGAGAAAATGCTATCCATATCCAGAGAAAGAACTATGGAGTCAGAATGCAGATTGAAGCATACTATTTTCACTTTTTTTGTTTGTTTTTTTTTCTTTCTCATGGTTTTTCCTTTTTGTTCTGATTCTTCTTTCACAACATGACTAATGTGGAAATATGTTTCCATGATTGCATATGTATAATTTATATCAGATTGTTTGCCATCTTCAGGAGGGAGAAAGGAAGGGTGGGAGGAAGGGAGAAAAAATGGGAACTCAAAATCTTTTAAAAAATGAATGTTGAAAATTATCTTTACATGTAATTGCAAAAATAAGATTCTATTTACAAAAAAAAAAATTATTCATATTTAGCATTCTTGTTTCCAGTATCCAATTCAGAACCAGAACATTACGCACCAGTCCTGACTAGGAACCCAGAACACAAACAAGTATCTGTCTCCTGATTCTGAATTATTCCATGTTATATAGCTAAGTACCTGGGAAGCCTTAACATTAGGTATTTACTATCTCGAATTAATGATTTTTTAAACTTGCTGGCTCAATACCTTTCCTGATTTTTTCTGTCTGATGCCTGCTTCTGTCATCACAAGACCATAAAGCCAAAGTCAACTGGTATTTTTCTCTTATTGCTAGAAAACTCCTACTGCCTTCTTACCCAGTTTCTGTCATTCATTGGCACCATCTGCTATCATGCCCTGCTCTCCCAACCCCTCAGATCATCTCTTCTTTAGGCTAACCATCCTTATTTTCTTCACTTGGTCCTCATGTAGCATAAATTTAAGACCTTTCATCATTGTTGTTGCTTCCTCTAACTGACCACTAGCTTATTCAATGTCTTTCCTAAACTGTTAGTCCCAGAACTGAACAGTTTGATAAGTCGGATCTCAGTAAATTATATATAATAGGACTTTTACATCTTTATTCCTAGACATTATCCCTCTCTTAATGAGGTCTAATATCTTATTGACCTTCTGGACTGATACGCACTTCAGAACAAAATACAGGTACTCCACCCCACCCCATCCCAAAAGTCAGTCAAAGCCATATCTCCAGCACTGATTTTTTCCCATTTTAGACTTAGATCACAGACCCATAGATTAAGAGTTGGATCAGGGGCCCTAAGATTCATCTACTACAGCACCTTCATTTACCTATAAAACTGAAGCTCCAAGAGGTTCAGGTATTTGCTGAAGTTCATATAGACAATAAGTGACAGAATATGGATTTGAACCCAGACCCTCTGACTTAAAGTGCAACACTCTTTCTACTGTACCATATCATCCTTACTGGAAAGATGATATGTCAAAGTTGTTTTATGGAGTAATTTTCACCTCTTTGATTATTAATACTTTTGAACAGTTTTTCATATAGTTATTAATAGCATGTATTCCTTAAAAAAAAAAAAACTTTATTCAATCCTTTGGCCATTTATCTAGTAGGAATTAGCTCCTTATTTTATGGATTTATGTATATTCTGTCTGTATTTTGGATGTCAGGCTTTTGTTTAGGCAAAAGAAAGCAAAGCAACCAACATTTATTAAGGATATCCTATGTAAGTTCCATGTACAGTGCTAAGCACTGTAATATAAGCAAAAGGAAAATCTCCGCCCTCAAAGAGCTTACATTCTAGGGGTAGATAAAACACAAATGAGACCTAAAAAAAGAAGAGATTGGGGGAAGAGAAGATACTTTTGTGGGGTCATGGTATTGCAACCTGTAAAGTCAGTGGCAAAACTGGGAGAGAAATGAAGACTGGCTGCCCTGGATCTCCTCAAAATGGAGACCCTAGGAGGAATGGAAGAAGGGGGCTGACATGATGGAAGCATGGATTTTCCAAGGTCAGAAGCCCCCGGGTTCTGAGGGAAAGTAGTAAGATGAGAGCTAGCTAAGGCATCATGCTGCTGTTATCACCTTATACAACTATATAGTTATTCAACTGTGACATAATTTAACCATGCTGAAAAGACTATATTTGTATAAGCAAATAGATGTGAAGAATTTTGTATAATCCTTTATTACTTTTAAAGGTACCCAGATTTCTAACTCTGATTGGTCAACACTCATAGTTAAGCTAATGCGGAGACAATCCAAGTTACTTTTTTTTTTTAAGTATAAAATAGTCTGGGATGTTATAATAGGGATTTTTTTGAACAATTTTACTTAATATAGTTCAGACTCATTTAAATTTTTTCTAGCACTTTTGTAAAGGATGAGTCTGTCAAGCAGGTTTTCCTTTCCTAATCTTGTATGAGCAGTTTAGCTGATTGAAATTTAAACACATACTTTTCATACCAACCCAGAGTAAATTTCCTCAGAAAATGTTTTATGTAGTCATAAATAACATGCTAAAAATATCAGAGATGATGAAGTTTGAACTTAGATGTATGTTTTAGTCAAGAAAGAATGATCCTTTTATCCTTATAAATTAGATGCTGTTGTATAACAGTACTTTATTCTTAGTGTTATTTACATAGGAAATATTTAAACCTAGAGAATATGGTTCAAAAATGAATTAATGTCACTAGAGATAAAGCACTCAATTAATCACTAAGAAAACGGATACAAAACATATATGTAGATATGATTGATTTCAGATGGATAGAAATAAGGAATAATTAATACAATATGTGTGATTACTCATGGTGTCAGGATTGTTTTTTGTTTTGTAATATATTGAACATTTTGTTTTCGCTGCCGTAATGGACGTTTCCTTTACATTTTTTTAGGCAATCAAATTGGAGTATGCAAGATTGGTAAAGCTGGCTCAAGAAGATACTCCACCAGAAACAGATTATCGATTACACCATGCAGTTGTCTATTTTATCCAGAACCAATCACCGAAGAAAATAATCGAGAGGACATTGTTGGAACAGTTTGGAAATCGCAATTTGAGTTTTGATGAAAGGTAATTAAGAAATGAAAATATTAAATTATTTTTTCTAATTTTCTAATATTATTAATAATTTGACATATTTTTAAAGTCATCTACTTCAAAAAGTCTTGTTGACTGTTGGCATTTCTAATCATCTTTTAAAATTTTCACTTAAATAATTCAACCCAGCTTTCATTAAACCATTATAATGGGGGAAAGTTACTTACAGATAAAGTCAATTCTCAATCCAAAGACATGATTTATTTAATATCTTCAATATCTCCTGCTTATACACTTTTAAAATGGGTTGAAAGGAAGTATGCAATAGTTCAGTTACAATAAATACCATTATAGTGAAATTTCATTATAACAGAAGTATTTTCATGCCTGAGATGATTCAAATAATATTTTACATAAAATTCCAGTGCAAGAAAACAATTCTTATAGTTCTGTGGGATTCATTACCACTTTATACAATGTATAGTTATGTTCAACTCTTCTCTCAACTATTTTCTACCCTCAGGTAACTATGTTAACATACTGAATTAAAGAAAAGTATATAATAAATGAAAATAAGAAGGGGAAGAATGCTGAAAAATAGTTCCTGATTAATCAAAAATAACTGTAGATGGTTTCATTAAATGTGTACATCTATATATATATGTGATATATATTATATATGTGTTATATGTGTGTATGTGTAGATGTACATATTTAAACACACACACACACACACACATATCACTAGTTCTCTTTCCATAGGGTATTGTGAAAGTCTTAGTGCTGTTTTAAACAGACATATCAGGCAGCTAGGTGGCAGAGTGAGTAGAGATTTGGAGGCAGGAAAATCTAAGTTTGAATTCTACCTCAGGTACTTATTTCCTGTGAGACCTTCATCAGATCACTTATCTTCTTTCACCCTCAGTTTATTCATCTTCTAAATGGCGATAATTATAGCACCTCCCTCATGGTTGTTTTGAGAAGCTAATTAAACTAAACCTTCAATCAGTATAAAAATGTTAGTTGTTGAATTGTATCATGGTCATCAAATATTTATGTTGTTTTGAGAGAGAACCCAGATTTATGAAAAAATGATGATGGGGTTGTGGAGACATAGAAAACTTAGGCCATCACTGTACTGTAGTACAATATGTGTATAGTTTTAATTGAGCAAATAAATGGATTGTAAATGCTTTTATAATTGATCTGCCTTAATTACTATAATACTCTTTCTTATAAAGTTGGGGATCAATAATAATTGATGATCAGTGATAATTATTTTATTGTTTAGTGGAGGGTTGGTTGTTTTGTTTGTAAGCAATGAACCTCTTTATTCAGATGCTATGTGTATTTTTTTTTCTGAAAATAAAAATCACTATCACTCTCATTTGGAGGATAAAAAGAAATTTTAGTTTAGTCTTCCAAAAGTTTTACCCATTTCTCATAGAATCTCATAGTTGGAAAGGACTTTCGGAGCTATCTATTCCAGTTTCTATTGGCGAATTCTCTTTGCAGTATCTCCCACAAATGATCTTCTAACTTCAGCTTACATGTCTTCCCCACCTTGTAACCTGTCCACACCTGTGATGAGGAGCTCACAATCCATACAGGCAACCCATTCCATTTTTAGACAAGTCTAATTGTCATGGAGTTCCTCATATTCAGGTAAAATCTATCTCCCTGTGACTTCCACTGATTAGTCTTGGGTTTGCTTTCTGGAGCCATAAAATTAATACAGTTCTTAATACAGTTTCTCTTTAACCTGATGGTCGTTTACATATTTGAAGACAACTATCTTTTCTGCGTATTAAGTGACACCACCAGAATGAAAGTTTATGTGGAAAAAAAAACTTTGAAGTTTTTGTTTTTGTTTGTTTGTTTTTTTTTGGTGAGGCAGTTGGGGTTAAGTGACTTGCCCAGAGTTACACAGCTAGTGAGTGTTATATGTCTGAGGCTACATTTGAACTCAGGTCCTCCTGACTCTAGGGCTGGTGCCCTATCTACTGTACCACCTAGCTGCCCCTTACTTTGAAGTTTTAATTCTAAATGCTTGATCCCAAGTTTAGTATTAATCTGCTATGTTGACCATTCTGAAAAAGAGAGGCCCCTTGGATATAATGATATACTGGAATACCACCACATTTAGAATCAGTATCTGGGTTTAAATCCTGGCTTTGCAAGTTTAGTAGCTGTGTGACCTTGGGTTAAACCATATAGTCTTTTTGGGTTTCAGTTTTCCTTTACCATAAAATGGGGGAAGTTAAACTAAATGTCTTTTAGATTTAGGATTCCATTTCTAAATCTTTGAGCCTTCTTGCTTGTCAAAGTACCTCTTAAAATGTGCTCAGAACAGAAAACAATATTCCAGATATGGTCTGATGAACACAAAGTTTAGTGGAACCATTTCTACTCATATTCAGACCAAGATTGCATTACTTTTTTTGGCAGCCATGTTACACAGTTGATTAATACTGAATTTGGAATTAATTGAAACCTTTAAATTGTTTTACATTAACTGTCATTTTGCTACATCTCTTTACTTGTGCAATGGATTTCTAGAATCTATATGAAGAATTTTGCAATTATCCCTTTAAAATTACATTTTATTAGATTTACACCTCCTTTCAAGAAGACTTCAGTCAGTCATTTATTAAGCACTTACTGATGGCTATCTATAAACAGAGGCAAATAGCCCTTCTCCCGCACATCTACTCCAACAAAACCGAAGTCACATCATATTGAATAATGATTAAGAATTGTAATAAGTAACTGAAATGACTGCAAAACTGCATAAATGTCATCCAGGAGCCCATGAGCTATTAGAAAAGGGACCCCACAGCAAAACCATTAGGAACAGAGACTAGCCAGATAAACTTATGGCTTTGAAAGAATTTATATCTTAAGCCAGCAAAAGCAAAAGAGTCCTCCAAGAAAACAGTAGGGGCATCAAAAATTGAAAGCATGAACCTTGTAGAAATGACAAGCAGTCTTAGCCTTGAGATTGGGACAGCTCAGGCCTAGGGTCTTAGAGGTACCTAACACTATAAAGCTGATGTAGAGGGCCATGAGATGTGAACAAGATATGTGTATATCAAAGATTTAAGGGGGCATAATCCTGGGAGGCAGTCAGCACATAAACCCAGACATCTTAGGTCAATACCAACCAGGGTCCCTAGACAAAAGCACAGTAAGGGGAAGAACCTGCCATTGGCATAAAGCCCCAATTCAGAAACTAAAGCTGGGGAGATGAGAAAACCAAAGAAGACATTGACAAGTTAAAAAAAATTGTTGCAAATCAAGAGATTCCTCCAAAAGAAGAAACAGGCAACTCTGATAATTGCAAACATTTAAAGAAAAACTTAGATTTTTATAAAAGGACCACATGAATATCTAGAAAAAATAAAGGAAGAGATAAAAAAAATGAAATAAAAGCTCTTGGGGGAAAGAATTGAAAGGAAAATAAATAATTTAGAAGATAAAGTGGTTATACCAAAAAGAAGGAAAAAGAGAAGGGGGTCACTAAAACATTTTTTAAAAATTCACAGAGGAGTACAGAGCTTAAAAAGGAAACACAGATAAGCAAGTCAGTTTTGAAAATAGCAAGTTGAATTATATACTTTTTGAAAAAACAAATTACATAAAATAAATCAATGGTTTTATATACAACTCTTTTGTGTTCTATTTTATATACACTTTTTGGGATGGAGGGGAAGTTAAATTTTTAAAAATGAATAAGTTATAGATCCTTATTCATCCAAACAACATACTAGCTATTTCTTAATAGCTATTTCTTCCAACTTAATGTATCTATAAATTTACCAGCATGCCATCAGTGTATTTTTGCAAGTTGAACTAAATAGAACTATGGTTAGCCCAGTGTCTTGCCCAAGAATAACAACAATAAAAATAATAGCAGCTACAGTTAGCATTTATATAGTACCTATTCTGTGCCAAATGCTGTGCCTAAGTATTTATGAATATTATCTTATTTGATCCTCACAACAACCCTGGAAGGATTTTTATTCAGTCGTTTTTTAGTCATGTCCAACTCTCCATGACCACGTTTGGGATTTTCTTGGCAAAGATTTCAGAATGGTTTGGTATTTCCTTCTCCAGCTCATTTTACAAATGAGGAAGCTGAGGCAAACAAGTAACTCGCTTGCAGCTCATAAGTGTCCAAGATAAGATTTGAAATCAGGTTTTTATGATACCAAGCCTGGTGCTCTGTCTACTGTACCATCTAGCTACCCAGTAGAAATCTCTATTCAGGATGACATCAGTTCGTTGATTAATAGCCTTTAAATGTAGTTATTTATCCATTTATTCATCTACCTTATTGTACAGCAAACGTTTTTTCAATCTTAAGAATTTGGGACCTTTTTGAAATCCAGATAATATAGTCTATAGCCTTCTCTGGCCTGGTAACTCTTAAAAAATGGAAATGAGTTTAGTCTGGTAGACTTGTGTTTAGTGAACTCAGAGAGCTCCCAAGGCTTTTTCCTAGGTCTTCTTCTTGCTCTGAATTCTCCCGAAGATACTAAAATACTTTTCAAACCTTTTAGCCCTCTATAGATGTCAGTTATCATCAGCTCCCATGGAAATATTCAGATGACTCATAAATTTATATATCCAGCCCGTGTCTCTCTCCTGAACTATAGTCTAACATCACCCACTATTTCTTGGATATCTCCATCTGGATCTACCATCAGACTCCCAAACTCAACATGTCCAAAATGGAACCAGTTTTCTCTACCCCCTAAATCTGTCCCTCCAAAATTCCCTGTTTCAGTTTCAAGCATAGCCATGCTACATTAGTAGTTATGCAACATTGGACAAATCACTTCTCTGGATCTGCTTCTTCTTCTGTAAAATGAAGGTATTATAATACATGAGAGGTATATGAGCCCTGGTGAAATTAAAAATACAACATTTCCTTATTTTTCCAGTCCTTGGTACCTCTTTCATTCTCCATGATACCTCAAAGGTCATTGATGGTGCTTCAGGAATCCCATCTATGAATTATTTTAGGTCCC